ATTTCTTTAGATCCCCACTAAATTGTTTTTGTAGTTAAACTACTTACCTGGACATATTGGAATAGTTTTATAATGCTATCTCATGCAGGAAGGTCACATATTTCAGTCCAGCACGTCACAAAGAGATCCTATCACACACACAACACACACACTCCGATCCTCTATAACAATTATTCATAATTAATTAAAGTTTAATATTTAGAACTCAATAAGCTTCTAGTGCTGTTTTCCCCAGCAATGGTGAAGATGAATCTGGTGCTAATAGCTAGAGCAGGCATGTTGTCCAAGGCCCAGAGTCACAAGGAATCATGATTTCCTTCTGTAATTAGAGTTTTTAAATACTATTCACAGCAAGAGAAAACATTTAAAATTCTCAATTGTAAGGAATAACTCTTAGAACTACAAGTTTGTTGTGAGAGATATATATCTGTGGTTCAAAATAAAAGGAAGTAGAAGTGATCAGAATAACAGTGAAATACAGCAAACTTCTCCTTTAGAAAATCTAGCAGAAGATCTACACCATCAGCTTTACTCCTTTAAAAAGCTCATGTAGACAATATGCCCAACAATGGGCAAGTTTCTGGGGTCAATGCTGACACCTTTCCTTCAGGTTTCCCTGTTGTGTTGGCTTTTCTTTTTGAGGCAGGTTCTCACTATGTAACCCTGCCTTATCTGGAACTCACTGTGTAGACCAGGCTGGCCCCAAGCTTAACTGAGATCCTGCAGCCTTTGCCTCCTGAGTGCTGAGATAGTAACAGCACATACCGCCACACCCAGCCCGTTTCCTCCAGTTTTCACCCTATTAGAACACAAACAGTGAAGTTTGGGGCCAGGTTAGCCCTTCAGGAAGTGTTGGTTATTAACTGTTACAGACATTGTTCTCTCTACCTTGTTGCCCATGGGCTGCCATTCTATCATTAGAAGCCATGACATGGATTCCTCAGTAACAGATAGCTGAGGGATAGACTATTCCCAGACGCTGAAATGCACTTTCCTTTAGAAAAAAGGAAGAATCATACAATAAAGTCCATCAGTAAATGCAATCACAATCTTTATATGTTTTAAGTAGGGAGAAGAAAATCAGAGATTAAAAAATGGTCAAGTTAAGATAGATAAAGGGCTGCCAGACAGAAAGATGCAGAAGAAAAGGGAAATCAATTTACCATAATATACTTATTCTGTTCAGTCTATTTTCAGCTCTGGGTTAGTAAAATATATAGGTGGAGGATACTCTACACTCCAGCCATTCTCACACATATCAGTACCAAGATGCAGCACACACAGACATTATGGGTAGATGGGACAGTCAACACAGCCTAATGTATGGAAAAAAGTTTGCTTCTTTGCACTTATCTGGTGTTTGGATTAGCACTCAACTTTTGTAGAGATTTAATTTTAGAGGGCCAACTAGTAAGGAAATATTTGTTCTTCCCTGAAAATATCTCCCAGTTAGGTAGGAGTCCATTTAAGCAGGTGCTTGTCCCAAACCATGCTTTCTCCCTGTCACACTCACACTCCTAGTGGTAGGGAGGAGATTTACAAACAGGAGGAAAGAAAGGCTCAGTATCAGGACAGTAGGAAAACAAATCTCTAAGATATGTTATATGATTTCTCCTTCAAAAATTAAATAAATAAAACTACTGCTGCACTATCTGGGAAAATGGTTTCTATAACAGGAACTACAGAATTCTTATTAAAGCAGAAATTGCATATGGCTTTAAAATAATATGCATTTTGTCAGACATGCCTATCATTTTTTTCCAAAGGAAAAATATTCTTACTCACATGGCATAAGCAATCTGCCTAGAGGAATTCTCTACCACACACCAAGGAAAACAGAGCACATGTAGACATATTAGAAAGCATGTTTGTTGTGAAAGGGAATTTGAACTAAAGAGCTTTTGTTCTCCTAACATGATAACACCACAAAGCAGGAAACTCTGCGAGGTAAAGAGTGAATTTTATTCTTGGACATGGCACTGTTGCCATGGTAATCTTCTGAACTATAACAGGAAGACAATTGGATACCAACCAGATTATTTAGAAAGGTAAATGGATCCTCTCAAGGGCACATTGGAGCTGGGTTTAGGACAGAGAAGCCTGCTTTTTAGGTTGGAACTTAATCTTGGTTCTGAATTTAAAGAACAAAAATTCTAAAGAAATATTTCTAAAACTCCATTAAAAATGTTTTCAACTTTAGCACAAACAAAATCCAATCTTTATGTTGTAGTTTTATAGCTAAGGTACAAACATGAGGAAAGAGGAGAGATGAAAACAGCACAGCTTGGGAGTCATCTTTATTTAAAAACACCTCTCTGGATTCAGGCTGAAATTTTTGTTGTAGAACCATCCTTGACTTTCTTTCAAGTCAGACAGCTATCTAGATGTTTAAAATGAACAAAGTCCATTGTTGTTCTGACTTTATCTTTCTTTTCCTTTCAAAAATATAAAATAAAGCACTGTAAAAACTCAATTTGATGTGCCAAGGAAATAGATTTTCAGATTTCTGAAATGACAGTATGCTCAAATTGCTCTCAGATCAAATCATCCAATGTTTTACTTGGAGCAAGAATGAGTTTAGTCAAAATTGAAAAAGTTTAGGAGAACATTTGTTTTCATATAGTTTAGTTACAATTTACTTTAGATTTATACTCCATTTTCAACCTTGTGTTGGGACTCTCCACATTTGCAGGATGACTTCTGGCATGGAGCTCTGAGATCTCAATTTTAATCGCATGTCTGTCAAATTGAAGTGAAATACATCCTCCTGGAGCAAGCCAGTGGACAGCCACTTGGGAGTCTCTTGAAGGCTGTGCAGCAATCCCAGGTTCTACCCAGTTAGGGTGGTGACATCTATGATGAAAACAGCCAGCATCCTGAAACCTCCCTGAGATGATGCATCGGAGGGGGGGGGTGTTGGTGTTCATGTTATCACACATGGTATTTGTGGGACTTTGACCCTAATGTGACCTTTTGAATGCACATTCCAATTCTCTATTCTTTTGTATATCACTCCATTTCAACTAAGTATGATAGAAAGCAATAAAATATCCTCTATATAAATACAAATATGTTAGTAGATTTGAAATATTGAAGAGTTCATTGCATTGTATTTGATAGAACTAGGGGTCTGAGGCTACCATATTAACCACTCTTTCTCCATGATGAACACGGCACTCTAGGGAAGGAGTAGAAATTTCAGAGGCAGGGTCTAGTAGGAAGCTTTCTGGTCATTGAAGAGGTACTCTCAAAGAGAACTATACCATTCTAGTGCCCTTCCTTCTCCTTTTGTCCCCACCAATGAGATAAGCAGTTGTTCTCTGTCACTTGCTTCTCACTATAATGTGTGGCTTCATTATGGGTTCTCAAACAACAGGCCCACTGACCATGAATTAAAAGCTATTAGCTGAAACAAACCTTCCCCATTGTATAAGTTGATTATCTCAACTATTTTATTATAGCACCAGAAAACTACTGGTACTACTGAAGCAAAAAGTGTTAGAACCAATGTTCCTAGTATCACTATTTTTGATTCTACTTTTTAATGCGAAATTTGAAATTTGAATCTCATTTGTCCAAAATTAACACAAAGATCAGTCCCTTCTAATTTTTAGGGATGAACATGTGGACCTCCACCTCTTGGCAAGGAGAAAGACTCCAAGCTCAGCATCCCCTACTCCTGAAGGAGATGTGTGGATCCCATAAAAAGGTCCACCTTTCCCGGATTTCTGTCTTTCTCTCCACGTGTTTTGTATCATTTTGGGTTCTTCTTTATTTTGAGGTAAAACTTTAGTTTTCTTTATTAAACTTAAACAAGTCACCAGCCTTGACTCAAATGAGATATGTCTGCCAAGGAAAGATTGGCTTCTATTTGAGGTAAGTTCCGTGAGCATCATCACCAGAGGAATCATAAAGATATTTAATACAAGAAAATGCCTCTACAGGCAATTTTACCACGGTTATGCATTATCTATTTTTTGTTGTTTGTGTGGAGTTGCCTATTTTAATTTGTTTTCGATAGACAAAGAGGCACCAAAAAACCCTGGGTAAATAATAGATGTTAAAAATAGTCACTACCTAACAATGTTACTGGAATAATTAGAGTGCAGAAATGCTCTCACATGAGCAGCCAACTGAAAACAAAGGTTGGCATGAAGCTGTTTCTTCGGTTCTTTTAAAATTAATATAGCAAACTCGTTCCAAACTCATCTCTCCCACTTAAAACTACTTGAGTTGTTTTCTTTTTGTTTGCTTTCAACTCCCCCAAGCACACAATATGGGATCCTGTCCTCTGTGCGTTTTGACAGTCTTTTCTTGTTTAGTGTCTGTACAAGGCCAATGTATATTTATATGCATGCACTATACATATGCTTTGCTTTCATACTCAGGGAAAGGAAATTGTTCTTGAAGAAAGTTCCCTTTCTAGCTCAATTCCATGGAGTCATATTCTTCAAATGCAACAAAACACAAAATTCATTTTTGCTTTTTGCTCAGTAGCTAGCTGCTATGGAACACAGCCAGAAATTGTGCCCTTACAACCCAACAGAAGACCAGCATAGACTTCAGGATCCTTAGGATTTCTGTAACATGACTGAGCTTGTATTTGAACCTGGAAGCACATAATCTTATTGCCAAATAGCTGTTGCTATTCCATGTACAATGAAATAAAAATGAAAACTATATTCTTCACGCAAAAGGCCCAGTAGCTTCTCAGATCAGTTAATATATCATAAATAGAAGTCATATCACTTTACTCTTTAAATGAAAAGTAAGACTCCTAAAATGCATGAAGTTTCTGACACATCCATCAAGTCCACCATAGGAAACAATTTTACTTTTATTCAATGAAAATTTCTACAGAAACATAAAATTGGCAGAGCAATACATACCATGCCAATCATTTTTTAAACATCTCCCCAAAGTTTATCAAACTCATATAAAAGCTAGTGTGTATCTTAAAGAACAAAATAGTGTATGATGTCATAGCATTTCATGACATCTTAAAAGAGATACTTGCATTTTGCTGTCACTTTGTAACCGCCTAGGGGAGGGATGTGGCCTTCCAATGCATCAAATCCAGCAGAGACCAGGACCATGTCTGGATCAAACTCTTTGGCCACAGGCATCACCACAGTCCTGTATAGTGAAAAGGCAATGGTCACTCATGGGAAAGTTGGGTACCTGTAAAAACTGTTTTGTGAAAATGACTTGGAACAGCCTGGGTCACTTTCCACAGAATAAAGGAGAAGGCAATGCTAACTGGATCGAACACTTATCCTCTCCTTCTTTGGTAGGCACTGTTGTTTTCGCATCCCCAATACAGTCTTTGTCCTTTCATGTTTTTTTTTTTCCCTCCAGAATGAAAACCGCCATCTCTGCAGGTCCATTCCCAGTCTGTCTCAGCACAGGCACATCTGTACTGTTTTATCCCATTGCCTATAAAAAGAAGGCTTGCTTCTTCCAAAGGAGACTAATGTTTTACAGGAAAACTGAAGCTTTCAGGAGAGCCTAGCTTGCTCTAGTTAGTAAGAAATTGGTATAAATTTGAACTATAAATTTCTTTTGGGAAAAAGTTTG